CCCCACCCACTGTCCCCTAGTTTATTAGCTAAGCCACACCCACTGTCCCCTAGTTTATTATCTAAGCCACACCCACTGTCCCATACTTTCTTATCTAAGCCACACCCACTGTCCCCTAGTTTATTATCTAAGCCACACCCACTGTCCCATACTTTCTTATCTAAGCCACACCCACTGTCCCCTAGTTTATTATCTAAGCCACACCCACTGTCCCCTAGTTTATTATCTAAGCCACACCCACTGTCCCCTAGTTTATTATCTAAGCCACACCCACTGTCCCCTAGTTTATTATCTAAGCCACACCCACTGACCCCTAGTTTATTATCTAAGCCACACCCACTGACCCCTAGTTTATTATCTAAGCCACACCCACTGACCCCTAGTTTATTATCTAAGCCACACCCACTGACCCCTAGTTTATTATCTAAGCCACACCCACTGACCCCTAGTTTATTATCTAAGCCACACCCACTGACCCCTAGTTTATTATCTAAGCCACACCCACTGACCCCTAGTTTATTATCTAAGCCACACCCACTACCCATACTTTCTTATCTAAGCCACACCCACTGTCACCTAGTTTCTTATCTAAGCCACACCCACTGCCCCCTCTGGCTCCGCCCCCTCAGCAGCCCCCTGTATAAATAATCTGACCTCGCTGACACACTGAGGGTTGACACACTCGCACTGCTTTGATCTGAGATGCTTGTTTGCTGCTGCTGAAGCTCTACTGTGTGTTTGAGAGTGTGATTGATGGCTGTTGTGGATGCAGGATGCGCAGGAGCAGCGCTTACATCCCAGTGTCCACTGCTGCCGCTCTACTGGTCACTTCATCCACACTGTTCTTCGTCTTCACGTAAGTCTCCGCTGAGCTGACCTTCCTTCATTCACTTCAGCAGTCAGTCTTCCTTCAGCTTTAGCTTTTACAGACACCTGAGTTTCTTTCATGACACTGTATAATAACCTTTCATGTAATACTTTACTTAAAGCCTTTATATATCACGCATTATATAACTATTTTAAGCCTTATAATGCATTGTATGATTGCATGAATAATACGTATCTATTATAGCATCGTTACACCTTTAGAAAGAATAATGCATGAAAGCATGAGAGAAACAACCACAAGGAATCTTTCATTATTATAATGCATTTTAACTTTGGTAACACTTGTTTATGAAAAGATATGAAGCATTACACTGGAAGAAATGTAATGTAGAAACTGTTTTCACACAGGAGTTGCTAGCAAATTTCACAAACAATTACAAAAAATGCCTTTGCATTAAACATTAATTTTTAACGTATTTGAATTAAAAGTAGAAAACTGAAACAATGTACTCCAATAATTTTTTTTACAACCTTTATATATATATATAATGCATCATAGTGTAGTTTTAACACATTAATATGACTTGTAATGCACCTTATATTACATTGTAAGATCTCATGAATAATAATACTTATCTATTCATTGTTACACTTTTAGAAAGTATGATGCATTAAAACACACAACAATCACCCAGATGTAACAAAGAGTCTGCAAGTATTATAATGCATTTTAACTTTGGTCACAATTATTTATGAAAAGATGCAATGCATTACAATGTACATTATGCATGTGCATTATACACAAAGTTTCCTAGTTTTGTTTAAGATTAATTAAGAATACGTTTATAAATACTGTTTGTTTGGGTCAACTCACACAACATCTTCAAGTGTTTCTGTCCTGGGATATTAAAGACCATAATCATGTTTTTGAGCATTTACCAACACGTTCATGTTGACTGAAGTCAGTTTTCATCATTTCTGAAACGGGTTTGTCCAGTAATGAATATAAGCTGCTGCACAGTCACAAGCTGTATATTTTAAACAGAACAGGACGGTGTATTGAGCGAACTGATCACTGATCGTGATTTTAATCCAGCGCTGAAAGTAGGCCAGAAACAACCGCTCACGCGCTGATATCACACCGTTATTATTCTTCCGCTCCGAATCTCTGCTGAGATGTAAATGCGTGCATGCTTCTCCTGCTTTATTTGTGTGTGTGCATGCATCATGCATGGGCTGGCCGCTGCTGAGATTGGAGCAGATGGGATGTTGAGGATTAGGATTTGCTCGCGGTGCTGTTTGATTCCTCATCCCGGAGTGTTGATCATCAGTGTGGCCCCTGATGAGTTTAAACTCAATCTGTCTCGAGCACAGAACGAGCTTCACACGAGACGCACGCGTTCATACAGAGTCTGAGCTGATGTGGATCGGCTCGAGCTCACGATACACGCGTCTTTGGGAAGTTTGGTGAGAAACTCTGACAGTTAATGACTTGATTGCAGAATAAGCGCTGATATCCAGTAGAGTAAAGGGACAGAGATGTGACATTTAATTACTATTTGTTTCAAAACGACTATAGTGAAAAACAGCTGGTACTGTAGGATTACTTTTTCACTTTTTCAGTGAACAGTTTACAAAGAATGACAAGCATGCATTAAAAAGTTTGAGGTAGAATGACTGAAATAATGCTTTCCTGTAAAACATCCTCTCAGGGTTATTATAGTTAACTACAACTAAAACCAACTAAAAAAAAAAGGTTATCTGAAATAAAGTAAGCATTTTTAACTGATATGAAATAACCTTTAAAAAACGTATTTTATTTGAGTTTAAACGTATTTTATCAGATTTTTGTTCATTTTAACTTGAAGTACTAAAAATAACTAAAACTGAAATAAAAAAATTATAATAATTTGGACCACAGTTATTATACTTACCTAAAAACCCAAACTAAAACCATTTAAAACTTTTCCATTACTTGAAATAAAATAAACATTAAAATACAATATGCCAAGGTAACATTTCTTATTTTAATCTAGCTTAACTTGATTTACTAAAATAACTCAAACTAAAACTGAAATAAAAAAATGTATAATAATTTGCAGAGTTACCTAAAACCGAAACTAAAACCATTTAAAACTTTTTCATTACTTAAAATAAAATAAACATTAAAATACAATATAAACATCTTTATTCCAGCTATGGTTGCCAAGGTAACATTTCTTATTTTAATCTAGCTTAACTTGATTTACTAAAATAACTCAAACTAAAACTGAAATAGAAATGAATAAGAACTATACAGATATATATATATAAAAACTACAAAACTACTACCCCCAAAAAATACAAATTCTAAAACAACCAAAATAATATGAAAAAAATAAAAAATGTAAAAAAGAAACGGATTAAAGATAATAATAAAAACTATGATGGTTTGGATACACTGTTATTAAAAAGTTTTGATCTAATGGCTTCTGCTTAAATAGTTGGAATTGGTTTTGCGTTTCAAATATTTATTCTGCCTAAATATGAATTTAATTCTAAAATGATTTCTGAATGTCTGAGTTGAGAAGGGGAACCTCATCACGTGTGTTTAAAAGTGTGTGTTTGATGTTGATCATATTTGCGTTTATGCTCTAAATGCTTCAGTGCGGTCTGTAGATTTCCCAGCATGCAGTGTGTAAAGCGTGTTTTATTACTGTAATCTAGAGATAGACTGGTCTTTGGTAATCTGTTCTTTACTATCCCTTTAACTAATCTACACATACAGCTCTGAATCCCAGAATGCACTGCACCTCCAGTTTTACACTAAAAAGTGTCTTTAGTGTTATTATAACAGGCCAGAACAGCTGTTATCTTTAGTTTATGAGACGATCAGACCGATCAATCTGAATGTTTTCATCAGCATTTCTGTCATTAATATTTGTATCATGTAGTGTTTTATGTATTTGTACAGTGTTATGTACTCTGTATGTATGTATACAGTGTTATGAGAAATGCTGTTATTAGTAACCCGTCTGTTATGATGATAATACAATGTGCTTCTGTTTCTGTGTTTCTCATCAGTGTGTGCAGATGGTCAGAAATCAGCCGTAATCCGCTCATACAAAATCTTAAAGAGAAAAGCCTTTGTCCTCCATACAAATCATTTGTTCATGACCTATATCCAGATGAACTCACTTTCCCTGAGCTTGTGCATTACATATTTCATTTAAAAAAAGAAAATATATTTTGCATAAAGAAAATAAAGTCAGTTTTGACACAATTGTGTCACTGTGACTTTATACTATTATTGTTTCTCCTCCTGCAATGTCTCTAAACGGTTCACTTTTGAGTAATTTATTTTTAAAGTTGGTAATAGAGTCTGTTTTTAATGTTACATTTTAAATCATTTTTAAATAATAATCATGTAATTCAAATCGGCATAAATAAAATGGCATCACAGCAAATATTATCATGATGCATAGATACTTTAAGTTAAAATAATACATCATTATTTTTTGTTGAGAATGTAATATTTTTTAATTGCAATAATGATAAATTAGGAGGCAAATATAAGGTAAAAGGTAATTTTATCTTGCAATTCTGAGTTTATATCTCGGTTTATATCTCGCAGTATTCCATGATGGAAACTAAAAACAGAATTACGAGACGTAAACTCAGAATTTAGAGAAAAATTGCAGTATTGTAAGATATAAACTATAGAATTCATAGAAAAAAATAAAAAATTGTAATATGTAAACTTGCAATTGTGAGAAAAAATCTCAGAATTGTTTCCAACACGGAATTATACAAAATAAATAAAATGGTAATTGCAATTTTTTTTATCACACAATTCTGAGCTCACAGTTCTGACTTTTTTATATCTTTTACATAGTTATTTATTAATTTTTTTTGCCTCCACTACAAAATACAAATTTTGACAATTTGACTTTTTATTTCACAATTCTGACTTTTTTCCCTCACAGTTTATATCACACAATTTGGACTTTTTTTTTTTAAACAAAAACACAGAATTGTGAGATATTAATTTAGAATTCTGAGGGGGGGGAGGTCAAAAATGTGAAATATAAACTTGCAAGAAAAAAAAAAAAAAGAAAGAATTGTGAGATAAAAATCTGCAATTACCTTTTTTGTATTATATATTTATTCCGTGGCAGAAACAAGCATCCATACAGATGTGCTTATCTGTCATGAAAATAATAATTAAAACAAAATAATGCTCCTAAAACTGCACATGCATTAAATATGTTGAGTCAGGGGTGTTTTTGACAGATTTGCTCATCTACATGAAGCACAGACTGGTCTGGATGTTGTATTGTTGTGTTGTGCAGACGGGCTTGTTCATATGGATCCAGCAGTTTTGTGCGGTGGGCAGACGGGTCTGTGATCCTATAATCTGGGATTAGTGACGTTCAGACCCTCCTGACACACATACAGACACGGAAATATATCAGAAACAATCCTCTCCAACCGGACCCATATCATGCTGTAGTTTCCAGTCTTTAATTTGATCGCACAGATTCATTCAATGAAAACCTGAGTTTAATCTGCGTCCCAGCGGCTGTGATTACCTCTGTTTTTAATCTCACACTCCGGATGCAATCATCCCTGCTTCGCTTTTCCTTGTTTTGACTGATCCACGCTTTCATTTTTTGGCCTTGTGAAGCTGGTGGTCCTCAGGGCCGACGAGCCTCTCAGATGTTAGACATGGAGCTGCAGAAAGGCAAAAGACGTTTGATTCGACTCCACTGAAAGCTTTGCTTGTGAATTATTCATCCTGAACTACATTTGATCTAAACGATGGAGCGATGAAGGCGGATCTGAATTGATTATTGGTGCATTGATATGAAGTCAACATTATTTCGTGTGATTGTTCTTACATTAGTTCTTAAAGTCAACATTTGCAAGCCAAGTTTGCATGTTGAGTATCATATTTGATGCATCAGGCTTTTATGGCTCATACAGTGAAACTCAATTTTATTCAGAGACTCAAACTGAGCAAAAACATGCGATTTGGTGCAGATGCTGATATTTATATGATGAAATTCTGATGCTTGTGATGTAAATCAGTGAGATCTTTATAACAGTAGAGCAGATACTGACATAAAATGATCTAAATATCAGCGGTCGCTCTATATCTCCAGTAATAAGATGAGACTGAAATGCTCCAAACATATAATGCAGTGATTGAGAGCTGAAGAAATAAAGGCTCCTCAGAAGATGTGAGATGTTCTGGAGGCTTGTGAAGATCATTCTTCCGCTGAGGAACAGTGAAAGTAAAGCTTCTGGAAACAAACGCTCCTCAAAAGATCCTGAGGATCAGATTTGAGACTCTAAAACATGATTGATGGAGAATCAAGTAAAGCTGAGCTGCTTCAGTCCAGTAAGTGTTCATCTGGAGATATTGCTGCAGTTATTCTGACCTTTACTTGATAAGAAACTCTAAACTATCGATCAGAGACAGAAGGTGTGTGTTGTTCCTTTGGAGATGTTTGATGTGTGATATGTTTCTGTATCTGTGATCCTCTCAGGTGTCCGTGGCTCGTCGTGAACGTGTCTCCTGTTTTCCCGTCATGCGTCGGGATCGTCTTCCTCTTCGTGATGGCGAACTTCATCATGGCGACGTTCATGGATGCCGGCGTGTTCCCGAGAGGTCAGTGGAGTCAAACACACAAACACAGCTCAATCTGAGCGCTGATTCTTCTGGAAACTAGTCTGCAGTCGCACATGAACCAGAACACACAACTCTCACATCACAGCTGTAATCTCAAATTCTGACACTTTTCTTCTCAGAATTTTTAATTTACATCTTGCAGTTCTGTCTTGTTTTGTTTTTTTTGCCATGGAATGAAAAAATAAGGTAATTCTAACACGTTGCTAGCATGTTTTAACATGCTGCTAGCATGATTTAGCAAATTGCTAACAATGTTTTAACATGTTGCTAACATGATTTACATTGTGACTAGAATGATTTATCACATTGCTAACATATTTCAATATAATTTAACATGTTTCTAGCATGTTTTAGCACATTGTTAACATGATTAGCATGTTGCTAGCTTATTTCTAACATGATTAGCATGTTAAAAATGTTTAGCACATGGTTAGAATGATTAACATGTTATTACCATGATTATCATGTTGCTAGCATGTTCTAACATGTTGTTAACATTAGTGTGATTTAGCATGCTGCTAGCATGATTTAGTACATTGCTAACAATATTTTAGCATGTTGCTAACATGATTTACATTGTTACTATCATGATTTATCATATTGCTAGCATATTTCAATATGATTTAACATGTTTCTAGCATGTTTTAGCACATTGTTAACATGATTAGCATGTTGCTAGCTTATCTCTAACATGATTAGCATGTTTTAGCACATTGCTAGCATGATTAGCATGTTATTACCATGATTATCATGTTGCTAGCATGTTCTAACATGTTGCTAACATTAGTGTGATTTAGCATGCTGCTAGCATGATTTAGTACATTGCTAACAATATTTTAGCATGTTGCTAACATGATTTACATTGTTACTATCATGATTTATCATATTGCTAGCATATTTCAATATGATTTAACATGTTTCTAGCATGTTTTAGCACATTGTTAACATGATTAGCATGTTGCTAGCTTATTACTAACATGATTAACATTTTATTACCATGATTATCATGTTGCTAGCATGTTCTAACATGTTGCTAGCATTACTTAGCATGTTGTTAACATGTTTCTAACATGTTTAGCACATGGCTAGCATTTGTAGCATGTTGCTAGCTATCTCACAATTCTGACTTTTTTCCTCACAATTGCAAGTTTATATCTTGTAGTTGCAAGTTAATGGAATAAAAAAAGATAATAAAATAAATAAATAAATAAATACAAATAAAAAGATAATTAACTTGACTTTTTTTCAGAATTGCACGTTTATACCTCACAACTGCAAGTTATAAACTCTTAATTGTGATTTTTTTTCTGCCATGGTATAAACAATTAAAATCTAGTTGTGACTTTTTATTTCACAATTCAGATTTTTTACTTGCAATTGTGAGTTTATATCTCACAATTCGGACTGTCAGAATTATGAGATAAAAAGTCGCAATTACCCTTCTTACTTTTTTATTCCTCGGCTAAAACGTACGCGTTAAACATACCCCGCCGCGTTAAAAACGTAAAACGCTCTGTGTTTTCATCACAGCTAATGAGGACGAGGACAAGGACGAGGACTTCCGCGCGCCGCTCTATAAGAACGTGGAGGTGCGCGGCGTGCAGGTGCGCATGAAGTGGTGCGCGTCATGTCACTTCTATCGACCGCCGCGCTGCTCGCACTGCAGCGTGTGTGATCACTGCGTGGAGGTGAGACAAACGCCATAACTGCTAACTAACTAATAACTAACAATAACATAAGCTGCTAACTAGTGAATAACAAAAATATATATATATATATATATTAGGGCTGTCAAAATTAACACGTTAATTGTGCGTTTATTTTTTTCAGTTTAACACATTACAAATATTTAAAGGGGACATCTGATGCAAAATTCACAATGATAAAAATCCATTCACTCCTTTTTATTAATCCCCAAAAAACCTAAAGTCTCAATAATCAAGATTTTTTAAGCAATATGACTTCATATTGCTCAGGCCCCGCCCACATCCGCTGACGGATGGTTAATTAGCATATCTCCGCCCTCAGCCAGTTTAGCCTACTTTGATGAAATCGAACACAACTTTATCTGCTCAGACTACGAACCAGAGTGTTCATAATTATGATAATATATTAAAATAATATGTTAAGAAACACCAGTTTGCAATATCAAGCAGAAAAACGAGCTGTTTTGTACAGCTAAAAATAGCTAAAAATGTACAAATGGCCACGCTGCTCTTACGGGAAAAATAGCTGGATAGTTTATGCAGATACAGTTTAGTTTATGTGAAGATCGTTTTAAGTTCACTATTTTTCAAAGCCTATTAAATGTTAATTGATTTTCAGTTATACTGTAATGCTGAGTGGCTATAATTAATTAATCAGTAGCAGTGTTGGTATCAATGATACTGGCCTTCATTAATAATAGGCTACTAAAGATGCCATTAAACACATATTTAAAATATACCATCGTTATGTTGTTTCTACATTAATTTGGAGATTCAGTGTGAAATTATGACACTATAAATACGCAATTAATCAGATTAATTACAGAAAAATGTGCGATTAATTAGTTGTTTAGTTGTAATATCTGTAATCTCTTCAGGACTTTGACCATCACTGTCCCTGGGTGAACAACTGCATCGGGCGACGCAACTATCGCTTCTTCTTCTTCTTCCTCTTCCTGCTGTCTCTGACTCTTCACATGGGGGGCGTGTTTTCCGGCGGTCTCCTGTATGTTCTGGATCATCCGGAGAACCTGTGGGAACTGCACGCCGCCGTCACGTATCCTTCAGCTCCGTGACTGTGGCATGGAAACACAAAACAATGACACAAACATACTGCCGGGTCTGCCATTGGTCAGTCAGACAGATAGTCCCGCCCCAGACTCACGTGATTGGTTGAGTCGGGTCGCTCAAACAAAACACATCAGTGTTCTGGAAGCATCACAGTGTTTCACTTATTAGGAAGGGAATCGGAATCAGTGTTGTTTTAGTATTATTTAAAGTTTTTACCAATATATTGAATTAGATTTGATTTGTTTATTTGTTTTTTGGCCTTTTTTCATGCTTTTAGCAGACATTTGTATTATTATTATTATTTTTTTATTATTTTTATTTTTTTCTCATTTAATTTTTTTTTATGTATTACTATTTAGGTTAATTTTTTTCATTTTTAGTTTTTGTTTTCAGTTTTAGTTCAATTATTAGTAATTTTGGTACGCACTTTTGTCATTTATATTATCATTTTATATATTATTATTTAAGTTTAATTTATTTTTATTTCAGTTTTAGTGTTTTAGCTTGATTTTTATTAATTCTTGTATATTAATACTAAGGATTAAATAATTTTTAGTTCAGTTTTAGTAAAAATCTTTCGGTAACGCTTCACAATAAGATTCAATTAGTTAATTAATGTATTAACAAACAATGAACAATACATTTATTTCAGTATTTATTAATATTTGTTAATGTTAGTTAATGAAAATACAGTCATTCATTGTTAGTTCATGTTAATTCACATTAACTAATGTTAACAAGCACAACATTTGATTTTAATAATGCATTAGTAAATGTTGAAATTAACATGAACTAAGATTAATAAATGCTGCAGAAATATTGTTCATGCTTAGTTCATGTTAACTAAAGTAATGAGCTTTATTGTAAAGTGTTACCAATTTTTGTTATGTGATTTAGTTATTTTTTTAATTATTTTATATATATATGTACTACAGACAGTTTAGGATTCTTTTTTTATTTCAGTTTTAGTTTACTTTTTAGTAATTTTGTTACGTGCATGTATTATTGTTTAGGTTTAATTTTTTTCAGTTTTAGTATTGTGCTTGTTTCAGTTAACAGAAATGGTTGCAATAATTTAGATGTAATGATAATAACATCTGAACGTCTGAAACGGCACACAGATCAGATGATGTGTACAGAAAGCAGTGAAGAGTACCTTGACGGTGTGTTTTAAAGGCTGGCGGTCATGAGTGTCTCGGCTCTGTTCTTCATTCCCGTCTTGGGTCTGTCCTGTTTTCATCTGGTGCTGGTGGCGAGAGGACGCACCACAAACGAACAGGTAAGCTCATGTCTGACCTGCATCAGATCAGATTCGGCTGGAGACTGAACTTCATCTTTACATGATGTGACAGGTGACAGGGAAGTTCCAGGGAGGAGTGAATCCGTTCACGCGCGGCTGCCATCAGAACGTGCAGTTTGTGCTCTTCAGTCCCATCACGCCGAGGTGAGCGTGCAAAACAATCCCTTACATGAATAATCTAAATCCTGTCATGCTGTTATCATTTCTATGGAACACAAAAAGATACATTTTAGTTGCAACAGTAGCTCATACGACGTCTCTCGAGCTTTAAATGCGACAGAAGACACCTGAAAATGAACGAGAAATTCAGAAGTTCCATGCAACAATAATTTATGCCTTTAGAAGATGCTTTTATTCAAAGGTGTACATTTTATCATGTTATTCATGCATTTTCTTGGCAAATCAAACATCATGGATGCCAAACCGAGTGCATGTCGTTACCTATAAAATAACAGCATGCAGCGAGAGTAAATGAAGACAGATGTTCATTTTTAACCATTTAAAGTGATTGTGTTTCCATACAATGTTGCCATTACAAACAAAACACGGACAAGAAAAAGAAATATGCAATATAAACAAAAAACAATAACATTGTGTTAAAATAAAGTGCTAAGCAATTCATAGAAATAAGATTAAAATTATATATATATATATATATATATATATATATATATATACATGTATAAACTAGAAACTAAAAGTTAAACCTAAATAGTTACATAAAAATTACAAAAAGACAATATTACTAAAAATTAAACTGTGTGTGCGTGTGTGTATGTATATGTATTTTTCATTCATTATTTAGCACCTCATTTTAATGCACTTTGAATACAAATTTTACATAGGTTTATTTTAATATATTAATATATACAACATATAATCTCTTCATGACTATTATATCATAAAAAAAAAATCTGTAATTTTTTTTCTGAAGAACTCAAGCTCATAGTTACAACTCTCAAGCTTTAAATGTGATATAAAATACCCGAAAGGTATCATAATTTATGCATTTGGGAGAAGTCATACATTTTGTATTATATTCTTCTCGCATTTTCTTGTGACTCAAACATCAAGGATGCCAAAACTAGTTCTTGCTGATTAACAGCATGCAGGGTGAGTAAATGAAGACAGAATGTTAATTTTTAACGTTGATTTTTCTCTTTAAACATCAGGTACAGATTGCCGCTTCGCATTCAGCCTCCTTTCCATCACCCAGAGTCCCACAACTGAGCCCTCAAATACTCCCGGACAAGGTACTTATGTCCATAAATACTTCATTTGTGGTGCATCAAGGCTGTGAATAAATGAATAAGGTCAAACATCAAACCTGACCTGTGTTCAGCATCATTAACCTTCAGCTGTGCTTTATAAACCCACTCAGTTATATAGATACTGAAGCCTAAAGATTAGTTTTAGAATGTTTTCAGCATAATGTTAATATATGTTTTAATCCAGGAGCGATCCAGTAAATATTTTTAAACAGATTTTATGGTTTCTCTCTGAAGCGAGTCTGATTCATTTTAGGGAATCGTATCATTTGAACGATTCAAAATGATTCAGTCCATATGCTTCATTTTGTTCTTTTTTTTTATGGCAAACTATTTAATTGAATGAGTTTTTGACTACACATCAGGTTTTGGTGACAAGTATATACTGCTCTGAATTAAAAAATAAATTATATCTAATGGATTTTGACAGCTTAAATAGCTTCTACTTTTATTACTTAGTAATATATCAAACTACTTTTTCAAAAGCATAGCTTGACTACATTTAAATCATGAGTAAGTGTTATTTTAGGATAATTGAGATATAGTTTTTTAAATCAATATTTTGCATTCATTTTTTGATTATCATTTCTGTTTTCATTTTAATTTTTGTTAAAATTATTGATGAGTTTTTAAATATAAATATAAATTAATTTTTGTTTTAATTATAGATATTTTGGTACATCAAGTTAAACTAAATGAAAATGAGAAATGTTGTATATAATGTATAAATATATATATTTTTTACTTTGATAAGTGTTATTTTAGTATCTGAGATATTTTTTGGTAATATATTATAATATAATATGTTTGTTAATTATATTGTTAATATTTTGAATTTGATTTTATTTAAAATATTTTCTGCTTTTATGTTAATTTTATTTAAAGTTTTAGTAATTTTGTTGTGTGCTTTAGTAATTTTTATAAGTTTTTGTTGTTTTTAAATATGTCTATAATTTTTATTTCAGTTTTAGTTTTAGTTATTTTAGTACATCAAGCATAAACTAAATGAAAATGAGAAATGTTGCCTTGGCACTAAATGAAATAAAATAACTTATTTATATTTTACACGTTTATTTTATTTCAAGTAACGAAAATGTTTTTTATGGTTTCAGTTTTAGTTTAATAACCCTGGTTCGTTCACTTTCAAAGTAGCTTCCCCAGCAATCATGCAGAATCACAGTAAGAGAGTGATTATATGTCTCTATTGATATCTGTGTGATATTTAGTGTCATTTTGGTGTGTTTGTATCAGTCTCTAGAGGAAGTAGATGCTCCAGACAGCAAACGTCTGACCTGTCCCCCTCCGCTGCCCCCAAAACCAGATCCAGTCCTGCTCAAGAACCATTTGGCAGCATTGGAAGGTGGGTGGATGTGTGGCAGAATCATGTTTCTGGACGGTCTGAAACACTGAATCTCTCCTCTATTGTATGTGTTTTCTAACAGAGAGTTTGCTCCAGTCCAGACTAGCTCTAATGCCTTCAGGACACAATATGAATCCACTCCAGACCTCAGAGTCGCCCGGAAAAGTGCTCTACCAAGTTCCCAGAGATCAGGTGAGAAGACAGATTTACACTCCGTAACCTTTGACGGGGCTGACGTTGTGGAAACTGTTTGGCCAGAGGAGAGCTGTAGCCTGGGTTCGCCCAAGGTTTTTATTCTCCTGTTGTCACCAAAATGAAGTTTTTCTTTCCTTGCCACCATCTCTGGCTGCTCAATGGGGAATAAAGCAGTATGTGTTGAGTTTCTAGCAGCTGCTTGTTTAAAACTAGGTAGAGCTTGCTATTTACCTTTGGAAAAGGTTAAACTCAGATCAGACTCTTTGATAACTAGCTTACAACAAAACCGACCGACATTTAAATCTCTTAATAGGATGAAACCGACCAGTGCTTAAATCTCGTAATAGAACGAAACCGACCGACGATTAAATCTCGCAATAAAACAAAACCGACAAACCGACCGACGATTAAATCTCGTAATAGGATGAAACCGACCGATGTTTAAATCTCGTAATAGGATGAAACCGACCGATGCTTAAATCTCGTAATAAAACAAAACCGACCCATGTTTAAATGTCTTCATCAAATGAAACCGACCGACGATTAAATCTCGTAATAAAACAAAACCGACCCATGTTTAAATGTCTTCATCAAATGAAACCGACCGACGATTAAATCTCGTAATAAAACAAAACCGACCCATGTTTAAATGTCTTCATCAAATGAAACCGACCGATGCTTAAATCTCTTAATTGAACGAAACCAACCGACGTTTAAATCTCTTAATTGAACGAAACCGACCGACGCTTAAATCTTGTAATAGAACGAAACCGACCAACGATTAAATCTCGTAATAGGATGAAACCGACCGACGATTAAATCTCGTAAAAAAACAAAACCGACCCATGTTTAAATGTCTTCATCAAATGAAACCGACCGATGCTTAAATCTCTTAATTGAACGAAACCGACCAACGATTAAATCTCGTAATAGAACGAAACCGACCGACGATTAAATCTCTCAATTGAATGAAACCGACCGACGTTTAAATATCGTAATAGAACGAAACCGACAGATGCTTAAATGTCTTGATCAAATGAAACCGACCAACGTTTAAATCTCTTAATTGAACGAAACCGACCGACGCTTAAATCTTGTAATAGAACGAAACCGACCGACGATTAAATCTCGTAATAGGATGAAACCGACCGATGTTTAAATCTCGTAATAGAACGAAACCGACAGATGCTTAAATGTCTTGATCAAATGAAACCGACCGACGTTTAAATCTCGTAATAGGATGAAACCGACCGATGTTTAAATCTCGTAATAGGATGAAACCGACCGATGCTTAAATCTCGTAATAGAACGAAACCGACCAACGATTAAATCTAGTAATAAAAAAAAAAAAAAAAAAACTTAAATGTCTTAATAGGATGAAACCGACTGATGTTTCAAACGAAATCAAATGAAACGACTGAAACGACTATCTCTTAATTCAGCGAAACATGTGCTTGCCAACAATATAAGCACAATATAGCTAGATGTAAATCTGGGGGATCACTCGTATCATCGTTAGATATTGTTATATCACCCAGCACTAAAACCGCTCTATGGTAAAGCACTATGCGTTATAGACATAACAGTATGACTTTCTGTAAAGCTGCTTTGAAACGATTGTGAAAAGCTTTAAATAAATAAATTTGACTTGCTTTGGATGTTTTCCTGGAAACTGGCTGCACGTTCTCCTAGATGTTCCTCTGTCTGTCGATGTAGATGGGGTCGAGGATTTCTCCGTTGGTTCCTCAGGAACACGTGTCTGAACCCAGTCTGCTGCAGCCCGAGAATCACGCAAACGCTCTGACTCTGAACTCACGCTCGCTGAGTCTCAAACACTCCAGCCGCCGCGGATCCCAGCGCGCCGAAATCCCACACGCGAGCCAAAGCGTCCTCAGCGGCCCGACGGGGAGCCTGTCCTACGACAGCCTGCTGCATCCCGCGGGCGTCCAGCCGGCGTTCCTTCCCATGGATCCGGGTCTGTCCCGCGGCTCCGTTGACATGCAGCGGCTTCCGGCGCGCAACTGTAGCCCAGTGTTCATGCACATCAACCGCGAGCCGTCGCCCGTCCGCTACGACAGCCTTCCCAAACCGCTCATGAGCTCCATCCAGGAGCGCCGCGAGCCCGACGACAAGGACAAACCCGTGCAGGACGGCGGCATCTACGACACTCCCAGCAGACGCAGCCTGCCGCAGGATTTCCGTGGGCTGTCGTCGTCTCGCGGTCCAACTCCTCCGGCGTACGGCTCGAGGGAGTTCCTCCTGAGCAGCGCGGCATACGGATACAGGAGCCGCTCGCATCTGTCCTCCTCCTCGTCTTCCTCGCTCACCCGCGCACCTCGGACCGCCAGCTCGCCGCTGCACTTTAACCGCTCTCTATCGCCCTCTATCTATCAATCTCTGGACCGACAGTCACAGCTCCCTCCATCCACGCTCCCTGCTCCGCTTCCCACCTCCTCCTACGGGCCTCAGAAAGCACTGGCTTACATCAGAGGAGGAGAAAAACCCGAACCGGAACTATGAGTCCTGATCATAGACTGTATAAAAACATGGACGTAGTGTCCGTGACGTCACCCATAGTTTTCTGAAGAGTGTTTTTGAAGCTCAAAGTGGGTGGAGCCGGCCGTCGCCATCTTGGCAGCGCATCACCGCGCGTCACTCCCGGATAATCGAAAATGGGCAAAAAGGCGGGAGCTGGTTTCTGAATCCTCCTGTCACTCAAGTGGCCACATGTTTAAATCTCGTAATAGAACGAAACCGACAGATGCTTAAATGTCTTGATCAAATGAAACCGACCGACGTTTAAATCTCGTAATAGGATGAAACCGACCGATGCTTAAATCTCGTAATAAAACAAAACCGACCCATGTTTAAATGTCTTCATCAAATGAAACCGACCGACGATTAAATCTCGTAATAGAACGAAACCGACCGATGCTTAAATCTCGTAATAGAACGAAACCGACCAACGATTAAATCTAGTAATAAAAAAAAAACGACAAATGTTTAAATGTCTTAATAGGATGAAACCGACTGATGTTTCAAACGAAATCAAATGAAACGACTAACATTTAAATCTCTTAATTCAGCGAAACATGTGCTTGCCAACAATATAAGCACAATATAGCTAGATGTAAATCTGGGGGATCACTCGTATCATCGTTAGATATTGTTATATCACCCAGCACTAAAACCGCTCTATGGTAAAGCACTATGCGTTATAGACATAACAGTATGACTTTCTGTAAAGCTGCTTTGAAACGATTGTGAAAAGCTTTAAATAAATAAATTTGACTTGCTTTGGATGTTTTCCTGGAAACTGGCTGCACGTTCTCCTAGATGTTCCTCTGTCTGTCGATGTAGATGGGGTCGAGGATTTCTCCGTTGGTTCCTCAGGAACACGTGTCTGAACCCAGTCTGCTGCAGCCCGAGAATCACGCAAACGCTCTGACTCTGAACTCACGCTCGCTGAGTCTCAAACACTCCAGCCGCCGCGGATCCCAGCGCGCCGAAATCCCACACGCGAGCCAAAGCGTCCTCAGCGGCCCGACGGGGAGCCTGTCCTACGACAGCCTGCTGCATCCCGCGGGCGTCCAGCCGGCGTTCCTTCCCATGGATCCGGGTCTGTCCCGCGGCTCCGTTGACATGCAGCGGCTTCCGGCGCGCAACTGTAGCCCAGTGTTCATGCACATCAACCGCGAGCCGTCGCCCGTCCGCTACGACAGCCTTCCCAAACCGCTCATGAGCTCCATCCAGGAGCGCCGCGAGCCCGACGACAAGGACAAACCCGTGCAGGACGGCGGCATCTACGACACTCCCAGCAGACGCAGCCTGCCGCAGGATTTCCGTGGGCTGTCGTCGTCTCGCGGTCCAACTCCTCCGGCGTACGGCTCGAGGGAGTTCCTCCTGAGCAGCGCGGCATACGGATACAGGAGCCGCTCGCATCTGTCCTCCTCCTCGTCTTCCTCGCTCACCCGCGCACCTCGGACCGCCAGCTCGCCGCTGCACTTTAACCGCTCTCTATCGCCCTCTATCTATCAATCTCTGGACCGACAGTCACAGCTCCCTCCATCCACGCTCCCTGCTCCGCTTCCCACCTCCTCCTACGGGCCTCAGAAAGCACTGGCTTACATCAGAGGAGGAGAAAAACCCGAACCGGAACTATGAGTCCTGATCATAGACTGTATAAAAACATGGACGTAGTGTCCGTGACGTCACCCATAGTTTTCTGAAGAGTGTTTTTGAAGCTCAAAGTGGGTGGAGCCGGCCGTCGCCATCTTGGCAGCGCATCACCGCGCGTCACTCCCGGATAATCGAAAATGGGCAAAAAGGCGGGAGCTGGTTTCTGAATCCTCCTGTCACTCAAGTGGCCACACCCTTAATTATGCAGAACTTTAAGGCTTAATATAATTTAAACGAATGAGTTATAAAAAAAATTCACCCCCTCACAGTTGTCATGAAGGGCAAAATTAGCTATATAGACCAAAATCATTTTTTGAACAGGCTGTAAACATGTTTTTTTCTGCTGTAAAGTTGGGTATTTTAACATGGAGAGTCTATGGGATTGACTCCCTTTTGCAGCCAGCCTCTAGCGGCCAGTCGATGAATTGCAGTTTTAGTCACTTCCGTGTTGGTTTAATGAGAGAGACCGGAAGGTTGCCGCTTGGTCCTGATGAGAGCGTCTGTTTAGAGATTTCACGGAAAACCTGGAAATATCAGGAATTTTAAAGGGATAGTTCACATAAAAATTAAAGATATTTTGAAGAATGTGTCAGTTTTTGATTAACAGCTGAAAGAAACTCATACAGGTTTGGAACAAACAACATGAGGCAGAGTAAATTATGACAGGTTTCATTTTTGGGTGAACTATGGCTTTAAGTGTGATCATCTAGACTGGGGAATTTAAATTGGTCTATTTTTTGGTCAGAAGGTGTTGGGAACCCTGTAGAGATGCTGAGAGGTTTATTACGGTCAACTAAAGCTATCAAAAACATTTTTGTTACTTGAAATAAAATAAACATGAACTGAAATAAAATATATTACTTATTTAATTTCAGCTAGTTGCCAAGGCGACATTTCTCATTTTCATTTAGTTTATAAATAACTAAAACTAAGTAAATTATATACATATTTAAAAACAATAACAAAATGGCTACATAATTACTAAAATTAAAGTGAAAACAAAATATAAAAATAAAATTAATTCAAAATAATAACAAAAACTATAATAGCATATCAATAATACTAAAATAATTCTTCCATTTATTTATTTTTAAAATATTGAAAGGAATATATAACAGATATATATTATATTCTATGAGCCAGAAAAATGGGTTTTAAATACTTTTAGTTTCTTTTTTTCTTTTATTTTAATAACTCAAGAATGGTTTTCGCCAAAAAAAAAAAAAAAGGCGTGGCATTAATATAAAGATAAATCTAAAAGCAAAAAAAGATTGAATTGAATTGAATTCTGTGCTTTAATTAAAACAGTTATTTATTAATTGTATAATTTTATGTCAAATATACTTGTTTTGTTACTACTTTTTTCTGTATCAATATTGTTTGTGTTTTATATATAATTTAATTCTTGGCTAATAAAGTTTGATTTGTTGACTTGATTTTGGTTTGATCTGCTCTCAGTGGATTTATTAATATTAAATCTGACACTCAAATGCTTTCGATCAGAGGAAACAGGCTGCTGTAGGTCAGATTGTTTTCATGAAGGTCACAATCCCACAATGAAGACTAGATTTCCTTGATTTCATAAGTAAGAATGTGTAGTGTAAAGGACGGGAATATTACAGAAGCAGAAGTTCCCTCTGGTGTTCACTGAGACTAATTACATATCGGTCCACCGATGAACTGGAAAGTTCATGTATAAACAATATCTGTATGTGTACACGTGTCTCTGAATCTCCCCAGTTAAACAAATCAGCCAGAACTTACAAAGTGTAAAAATGATGCAAAATATAGAAAAGCACATCAACAGACATTTTTCCCAGACATGAAAATATCCAAATGATGTGTCATTAGTAATCCTTTGAAAAAATCTATAATTATTTTTTGGAAAAGTGTGTGAAAATTTGTGTTTTATGGTCGGTCACAATTGTGAGTACTGAATTAACATATTTCTGCAGTCATACATTTTTTTATATATCTTAGCCCAGCTATTTTAAACAGTTTGATCACATTCTAGGGTTATTATTATTATGCATAAAAACAACCTTATGCAACATTGATAGGAACACTGAGATAAGACAAACCATCAACGCATTTCAAAATTGTTACTTTTTTTGTAAAATATAACATTACATTTACAACATATTACAACATCAATATTGTACATTTTTTGTAACATTTGAATTTTTTATTTAGTCATTGCAACATTTTAGTGTAATTTTCACTAGCATCTGCAACTGGATTTATATTGTAGACCTAAGTTCACAGTTATCCCACCGCTCACTAATTTGTGACCATCAACATGTTTACTCATTCTATGACCACACTCAACAAAACTGAATATTTGTGAATTCATATATTAATAGTAGACACCTTAAAGATAATGTGTACCAAAAATCTTTGTCATATCTTTATGTTAACATACTTGTTTTGGAGCTTTGATGCAGTTATCATCTTCTCAAGGTGCAAACGGGAAATAAACTGCTCTGCTCATGCGACACTTTGCACTAATCATGAGAAACTGCAAGTATTTCATTAAGACCCTTTATTTTTTCCATATTTGCAGGAAGTGCACTAAAACATCAGTCAGTAAGGTTTTTAGAGCTTTATTAATGAAACTTTTTTTACGGTCACTATTGTGACCGGTGGGATTAAACGCTACTAATGTGCCGAAATGAATAAATCCTGCAGTAAATCGTGTTTATTTGAGCTTTCTGTGCTCATATTCAGACCTTTCTGATGAAACGCAGTGCGTGAGCATCAGGTGTTTTACCGCCTGCTGGAATCACTTACCGGCCTTTGATCAAATATTAACAGTGCTGCCGCAACACTATCTGATTTCGAAAGGTGTTTGATGTGCCGCTCCGCCCGAGAGCGAAATAAGAGCGTGCGGTTTATCACTCAGATGCGCGGTGCTGCTGGTTACTATAGCAACAGTAAAGTCCCGAGCGAGTCTTCTGTCAGAATCGACATTGGTCCACTTCATTTTTACTCTTAAGATAAAATGATGCACTGCGTGATTAAGACACCTGATGCTTCTGTAATGTTGTTGGTTTTACATAATCAAAATGGTCTAATTGTTATTATAATAAAAACTCTCTATGAATTATGGGTATGTTGTCTATCAAGTAGACAGTGTTGGGGGTAACGCATTACAAGTAACGCGAGTTACGTAATCAGATGACTTTTTTCAAGTAACTAGTAAAGTAACACATTACTTTTTAATTTACAATAACATATCTGAGTTACTTTTTCAAATAATTAACGCAAGTTACTTTTTTTTTTCAATTTATTGATTGACAGCTCTGGTGTCGCCATGTTGAGAGAAATCAGAAGATGTTACTGTAGTTCTAAAATAAATATGAATATGCATTAATTCATGTCACAAAAAACAAAAACACAGATTCAGTATTCCTCAAAATGAATAAAAATAATGCAACTCAGAATATGACGCAAACCTGCAATAATTAAATGTTAAACAACACAAATATGCTTTATGTATTTAATCCCATTCTATTAACCAATGTCTTTGCTTCTGACCTTCGATGATCCAGTTCAACCGTACTAATAAGCACAAACATTACTTTTAAAAGTAACTTTCCCCAACACTGCAAGTAGATGACATGAAACTGTGGTCAAAAGTCTATCATAAATGCGGAGATGTTCGGGTAGTTGGATCATAATGCACAATGTTTCCATCTAACTTTGAGCTGCAGCTCAGAGTGTTTCACTAGTTAGCAGTAAACCGGTGACCTCAGCTATATATATGTTCTAGTTTTGTGTTGGATGTTATCCTTTGGAATGGAAATATGGATATTTTATTTGTAAACATAATACTTTGTTCGCTTATTTCAGTTAGTGTCATGAAACTAGTGAAGTAAGCCAGTAGTGGTGCTGACAGTGTCGTGTAAACATGACTGAAGACGCGAAAAAGAGGAACAGACGAACCGATTCAATCGAGTGAGTCATTTACACTGGAACCGCTCCGGTTGATTCAAACTCGTGACTTCGATCATTCAGTTCAAACGATTCACTAGAACAAACCAGTTCAAAGAGCCACTAATTTTCGAATTTCGATATTGTAGGCTAATGATTTAAAAAAAAAAAATTATATTAAATTTACAAAGACAACACTTCAATGTTTACTGTAAATAAAGAAGATCTGAATAAATCTCCTGAATAAAGAAAAGAGAGATTTAGAGCCAGATTTTTATGTATGCATGTGAAATTTAGCTAGCAGAAGAAACAAATTAATTGTTATATTTTCTTATATTCTCTTTTGAGTAGTCAAACAATCCACAGAAAACATCTTTCAAACAGAAAGAAAAGTCACTTACAAAATGAGATCAGATGAACATGAAATAAATCTGATCAAAGTTTCTCTGTGTGGTTCACTGCCAAAACAAGTGAATGATTCTTCACCAGAAGAGACAAAAACAGCGACTCACTTCAATGTCTGACTTATATTATTATTAAATCAATAAGCTTTTTGTGAAATTTGGATGAGCATCAGTATACTTATTTTACATACAGTATACTTATTTTTTATTTTTTTTATATTTACAGTAAAATTTGAAGTGTTGTCTTTGTAAATGTAATATAATTTAAATAATTAAATGTCTAAATTAAATATAAATCAATGTGATTGTTCACGCATAGACTTCTGGGAATATGATTTTCTACCTAAAATATAAGGTGAGTCCTACTTTTTTTTACTTAAAAGTACATGCATTTTTTTTTTGTTAAACATAAATGTTCACTGATAATTCATACTTATTTTTTATTTTACTTTTTGAATATTTTGCATTCTTTGTAAATGTAATTGTAAATATAATTTAAATAACTAAATGTCTAAATTAAATGTAAATCCATGTGAAATGTTCTACCTGAAATATAAGGTAAGTCCTACTAATTTGATAAAAAATCTTACAAACATCTTTCATATTAAACAAATTTTCACTGATAATTCATACTTTTACTTTTTTTTTATTTTACAGTAAAATTTGAAGTGTTGTCTTTGTAAATATAATTTAAACAACTAAATATCTAAATTAA